GAGTTGGTGCCGTCAACCAATTTCTTGACGCACGCCCTGGTCGTCTGAATGACGTCCACGGACTCGCTGATCGCCTTGTCCTGCACGTCGTTCGTGCACACAGTGAAGTCTGCAACACGTGGGGCCGTATCGCTTCTGAAGTCTGCCATCAGCCCCAAGATGGCCGCCATCAGTTGGTCTCTTCCGTCGAATACTTGGTCTCTGACCACATACAGACAGGCAGTCAAACCCTCGACGTTGTCCCGGTTCCTGTTTGCGCAGTCTGTGACGTTAGCATTAGCGCCCACGGCAGCATCCTGAGATACAGTGACCATTACGTTGAGATTCTGGAAATATGGCTGCAGATCCTCAGCGGCCGACTGGAGACAGGCTTGGATCCCTGGTCCTGAATAAATATAATTGACATTTTGTACCACGCGTAATTTAATGCATTCTTCTGCACTTACCTTCACTTCCAATTTGATTTGTGGAGATGCAGGCGAGTCGTTTCTCTACACAGCAGTAAAGACTAAGGCAGAAAACACTATTCATCGTGCGAGGTAGGAACACACAGCTCCTGCTTGCGTTTCGGCTAAGACAATCCCAGAACTAAATATCACGTTCTTGTTCAATATTTGGTGCTTCGGGATGAAACGATAAGAGAAGCACTCAGACGGTTATTAATTTCAGCGATAAAACAGCAAATGTCCGATTTGGATGATATCGATAATCGATAACCATCAAATAATGTTCGGAATCGATATGAATTCAGCTTATATATAAAATACATGATTTCTAGGAAAGCATAAATTTGCTAAAATTTATTAAGTTGTAGTGAAAACTGGTACTCCGCCCATTAGGCAAGAAGATATGGGGTTATTAGAAAGAAATATGCGAGCAGCCGTAGCAATTGTATAACGCAAACAAAAGAAATTGGCTACACTGCGTTTACGATTAGATAATTGTCAAAGTGACAAACTCTCACCGGCTTCCTGTATCATCTTCTGGTACTTGGCATCATTTTCAGTTTCACAGGGCGAGATGTCTACACCCGCGGGTGCTGACTGAGAGATTGCAAGTTTCGATTCTGTTACCAGAGCCAGGAGTCCTTCAGGATCGCTGCTCTGGATCTTCAGAGTCTGCAGAAGTTTGTTGCCGTCGCCTTGAGCGTTGCTTGCTAATCGCTTGAAGTTGTTGGCCAGCTTTTGGATCTTTCCTAGTGCGTGTTGTATCTGATCCTGACTGTCGCCTACCGGTTCATCGGAGGCGTAGCCGAACTGAGTGGCTGAGGCGAGGCACTGAATAAGGAAGAGTGGTAACCTAGGTTTCATTGCCTTGCAATTTAGAAAATTATAGAGCAACCCTCTGCAAACTAATTGGGCAGCCGAAGGAACACCGCGGCTGAGAATAATAATGAAAAATTGAGGGTTAACGGAACCAAAGCCGCTGTTAAGTTCATCGAATCCTGCTCTTTGTTTCTGCTGCGGTTTAAAAAATATTGCTGATGAATTTTATAGAAAAATAATCAGCAGCAAAGCGACAGTTCTGAGGTACTTCAATATAGATACAGTAGTAGGAAACTTAAAACTCTAAATTTTATATATTTATCATGAAAATGCCGTTGGTTAATGCTTTAATAAATGTATAGTACTTATTATATGAATAAATAACATAAGTTTTACAAATACGGACGCCTTACACAAAAAAAATTGACACTGGATAAATTATCTAGTTTTTGAGTTAGACATGAATTTAATCATAAACAATTTTTGTTTTGTGACAATATAATAAAAGGTTTTTACTTATCGCCCTGGTGTTGTAGGCAACAAGGGCTTCTGAAACGGCTTTACAACCCAGAGGACAGCCAGCTTCGTTCTCATCAGCGTGAGAACCTCAAATCGCTTAGAGTAAACCGTCCTAACAAATTTTCAATGGAAATTTACAATACTGAGATGTTTGTTCTGTACATTCATTAGCTGAAATAATTAAATTATTTTTAGACTAAACTGACCATTCGAATACAATTTTTGTCGCTACACAATGAGCGCATTTATCTCTAGTAATGGTTTAACCCTGACGGAAGTGAGCTTTTTAGACACCTGCTAGAATATTACCAGGTATAATGTGAAATAACACAGCTCATTCTATTTTGTTAATTGCCGAATTTGTGTAGTAAATTCGCTTAATACGTGTGCAAACAATCTTGTAAAAAAACACGATATACTTGCCCTCAATGCGCAGAACGCCATAACAGCGATAAAAACGTTAGAGTCCATGTTCTGATAATACTCTTGGTTTCTTTAGAGCTTCGAAATGTGCCACTATGTGGAATCTCTGCGATTTTTATACAGGCCATAACACGAGTAGTTACCAATATGTCAGCATATAAATCTAGTGCAAGCTGAATACACAGAACGACACCTCCAACTAATGTTCACTGAGGGTTAATGTCAAGGTTTTTGGAAGTAAAATGAAGGTAAATAATTTTTGCTTGCATTTCTGTATTTGCCTACCCGTCTAGTTAATGAAACAGTAAAAACACTTATAATTGTGCAACGCGCATTATATTAATAATCAAAAAAGTACAACAAAAAATTTATATTTCTTCCTAAACTGCAATTATTATAGACTCAAATACTGCGAGAAAAACGAAATGCATTGGGGCGTTGGTTATACAGTATTTTCAATTTAAAACGCAACGACGAAGATATTTATTAGCTTTGGTGACGTCAATATAACGAGACAAAAGCAGCTTTTGCAGCAGACGTCCTTCTTCTCCAAGACGCGCAAACATTTCCTACGCCCTGAAATTTTGTTACGCGTCGGTGTATTGTCGTATTCGGTGTTTCCATGTCAGGATACGCAATGCAAAATGCTTCACGAAGAGCAGAAAACGATTTAGATGCGAAGTAATTTTCGAGAATGAACAGACGTTTAGTTCGTGACTATACCGTGTTCGCATGTACACTGCTTTTGCGCATCTGGCGTGAGCAGCGGCCTAGCGACAAGGGTGACTGACTCAGTTTTCACTAGTGAGGTTGGAAGAGTGTATTACACGTGGCGGAAGTCCTCCTGATTTCATTTTTGAATTGCAGCATGTGATTGGCATTCGATTGCTTTTTAAATGGTTGACTGTTTCCTTCCAAGCGTACAGAAATTTTCTTTGGGACAAGAAAGATATATGTTGTAAGGGGAGTTGGAATGCTATAATTCTGGCAATGTTGCATTTGCTCATGCCCCATCATCTCTCATCCTAGTCGACATATTTTAAAACTTTCAATGTTATTACCATCAACTTTTCACACACTCTATTATACACTGAACTAAATCAAACTCTAGAAAACTTTAACAGTTTCAGTACTTACGGAGGTGATGGGACAAACTTATTTAAAAAATGTAATTTTTCATAAAAGAGTGACAGGTCAATATTAAGGTAAACAGTTCCCAAATGATTACTTCAAATCAAGTCAAAGATACGAAAATGACTGTCTTCTAGGTTGGAGCGCCTTGTAGTCTGGTTGACTGGCGCTACAACCCAGAAGACAGTCATTTTCGTACTTACCGCCGTGGAAATATCAGACTTCCATTACGTCAAATACAGAACAGGAACGTCATACTGACCGTATGCCAACTATGCGACGATCAAATTTATCTTAGAAACAAAAAACGTAGTCTTCTAGATGAAGAATTACTTCTGGGAATATTTTTCAAAAGAATGGAATGTACAGTTTCAGAAATAAAAGAAATATTTACATTCAGAGCATTTCATTAAATGATATGTAAAATGTTGAGAGTATCACGAATAGCAATAAACAAAGTGGAGACGATACGTTCCTTAAAAAGTTTCGTGACCATGTACAAGATTACATTGAGTCAAAACCTAGAAGAAAATCACAATCGATATCTTTACCGACGTAAGAAGCTCAAATCACAAAACTTGGTTGCACTGACCAACTTTGATGTTACAAATTCCCTTGAAACTAATGAAGAAAAACGAGGTAGAAGACATTAGGCCCGTCACAATAGCGTACTTTCTAACAAATCCTCAGGGCAAGGATCGTAACCTGAAAGGGCAATAATGTTGCCAAACACCCTTTGACATATACATATTTCAGTTAATCATTCGCTACACTTCTCATCTGTGTGTATTAGTATATCATAATGACGGCTGTGTAAACATAAAATCAGTGAGACCTTTATCACACAACTGTTCCGCTGCACCCCTGTGCACCCACTCTGGAGGACTATTTACACAGATAGCTGTGATGTCAGAATCCTCCACGTTCATCGCCACTCACAGTTGTATATAAACTGAGACAATTGAACTGAAAGACACATATCAAGCAAGGGCAACAGGAAGGACTAACTGTCATGGCTTTCAGAACTGTAATCGCTCTAACAGCGCTCTGTATTGTAAGTATATTATTCTATGAATCGTAATGAAATCAGTAGATATGTTCAACCAGATCCCTCATATCTTAACAATAAGTTTAAGTCTGTTTAAAAACTGATTCCATTCTTCAGTCATAGAATTACGAGACAGTGTTTATTACGAAACACACATTATCGAAACAGATCAGAAATAAATGTGGGGTGGTCCAAATCTGTTCCTACAAATTAATGAGACAGTTGTATAAACATTAATTAAAATCTAGCTTCTCTGTGGATTTTATGAAATAAATGAAACTTCATATATTTAATGAAAAAATTCTGTTGTTTAAAACATATAAATGAATTATTCTTCATATACGACAAAGGACGAAGAACAAACAAGAATAAAGAAATAACACGTAAAAACGTACAATTCACCGCAGTTAGTGAAATAATGCAATACCAAAATTATAATAATCTAAACCCGGACCTAATAATTAAAATTTGTCGGTCTGTCACAGCTTGTACCAGACGTTCATCTAGCCGAGTGGCACAGTACCACGGAGTCCCTTAAACTGTTGAAACGTTCTGAGATTTCAGGATTTCACGGCGGTCAATATGAAGATGGCTGTCTTCTGGGATGTTACGCCGTGTAGTGTGTAGAAGTATACCGAAGTTTCAGAGGTACTTGCTTCCTCCATCATCAGGGCCACTTACTGTCTTGGAGACAGCAAATACCTCTGAAACGTCGGTGAACCTCTATCGAAAACACGGCACAACATTCCAGAAGACACTCATTATTAAAATGTTAAATCCCAGATTTAAATTACGGCCGGGATTTAAATATAACAGAATCGAAACTTGCAATCTCTCAGTCAGCACCCGCGGGTGTAGACATCTCGCCCTGTGAATCTGAAAATGATGCCAAGTACCAGAAGATGATACAGGAAGCCGGTGAGAGTTTGTCACTTTGTCAATTATCTAATCGTAAACGCAGTGTAGCCAATTTCTTTTGTTTGCGTTATACAATTGCTACGGCTGCTCGCATATTTCTTTCTAATAACCCCATATCTTCTTGCCTAATGGGCGGAGTACCAGTTTTCACTACAACCTAATAAATTTTAGCAAATTTATGCTTTCCTAGAAATCATGTATTTTATATATAAGCTGAATTCATATCGATTCCGAACATTATTTGATGGTTATCGATTATCGATATCATCCAAATCGGACATTTGCTGTTTTATCGCTGAAATTAATAACCGTCTGAGTGCTTCTCTTATCGTTTCATCCCGAAGCACCAAATATTGAACAAGAACGTGATATTTAGTTCTGGGATTGTCTTAGCCGAAACGCAAGCAGGAGCTGTGTGTTCCTAACCTCGCACGACGAATAGTGTTTTCTGCCTTAGTCTTTACTGCTGTGTAGAGAAACGACTCGCCTGCATCTCCACAAATCAAATTGGAAGTAAAGGTAAGTGCAGAAGAATGCATTAAATTACGCGTGGTACAAAATGACAATTATATTTATTCAGGACCAGGGATCCAAGCCTGTCTCCAGTCGGCCGCTGAGGATCTGCAGCCATATTTCCAGAATCTCAACGTAATGGTCGCTGTATCTCAGGATGCTGCCGTGGGCGCTAATGCTAACGTCACAGACTGCGCAAATAGGAACCGGGACAACGTCGAGGGTTTGACTGCCTGTCTGTATGTGGTCAGAGACCAAGTATTCGACGGAAGAGACCAACTGATGGCGGCCATCTTGGGGCTGATGGCAGACTTCAGAAGCGATACGGCCCCACGTGTTGCAGACTTCACTGTGTGCACGAACGACGTGCAGGACAAGGCGATCAGCGAGTCCGTGGACGTCATTCAGACGACCAGGGCGTGCGTCAAGAAATTGGTTGACGGCACCAACTCAGCTTCTTCTGCTTGAGTCAGATAGTTTCTCCTTCCATGTTTGTTGATGTAGATGCATTTAAGCGAAGAATGAAATAAATAAAATAATGAACTGTATTTGTGTCTATACTTTCTTTCTATCTGCTGAATACGTTTTACTTGGTGTCTACATGTTTACGGGGTGTAGAAACTTCTGTGTGATCATAATCATTAAGATATGACAATTCAGAACCGACCGAACATATGGGATTCATTGCTTCTTTAAGACATATCTATGGTTTCTCTCTCCATTGTTTCGTCTAGAAAGGTCCTGGAATCCAGAGGCTCTCCAAGGCGATGTCCTCAAGGTGCAAGCGGCCTGAAGAGGCTACAAGTGTCCCCGAGATACCATGTAATGCCATCTGCATTATAACTCCGAAACTATCTATTGATGGAGTAACGTTTTTTCCAAATGTACTTTTGCACACTTCTCATTCAATTTACGTCACCTCGTCAGACTCGTTGGTGCCACATGGCACCCACATGTCAGACGTGCGTAAGTAATACCATGTTTACTGCCGTAAGTAATAGTTCATTATCACGCTGATAGATGCCGTGAGAATGTGAAGTTTTGCTACAGCAGGAGTTGGCAATTATTTTTGCCGAAGACTGAATGTGGCAATTTCGAAACTACCGCCGCGAGAAAGCTTCACTTTTAAAAAGATTGTTAACTGAGAAATTGTTCTAAGGAACTGAAATTACTTGTATTTCATGTACCCACTGAAAGGCATTGACGTAAAATTAACTGGTTCACGATGTTTCACACAAATACTACGCTCTGCATTGTCCATTTCCTGAGATATATTTGATATTCATGGCGTTTCGGGAGTTGACTATGCTCTTGTCTTCAGGTGATTGGTCACCACGGTAACAAGCATTCCGTGGATTTAATCTCCTATTTATTTTTGAATAAAATTTTGGTTTCTTACAATTATTCACGAATATTCGCATCCTGACTTTTGTATTTTGTAGCCTAGATGCGAAATTGTTGTTGTTGGCTCCTTTAACAATTCAGAAGAGAACAAATTTCATCTCAAATGAACAAGACTAAGATCAGTGGCTGCGTGGTTTAAGTCATGGGTTTGAGTCGCTGGACACCAGAACTGAGGGTTTAGGCGTGAAGGTATGTTTGCAGTTTTCTATGTTATGCTTCTCAGTGCAGCTACAGGCATTACAAAAGCCGATCCCCATTCAGGAAGTCTCACGAAATGTGTAAGTGGATTCATAATTTCAGAACTTATTTCTGAATTAAAACAGGCCAGAAAGCCTGAAGACAGAATCAAGAAGGATGGAAGGGAGGGAAGGATAAAATACATACACAATTTTAGTCAGAAAACGTCAAGGAAACAGTTTACGATAGAGTCCTCTGCATACTTGAAACGGTATTAAATTTGGGCTTTACATAAATTTCGTGTGAAGGTGGGGAAAATAAGTTAAAGTTCAGAATTAGGTCGCAAAGAAGGCTTCTGCGAGCAAAGAATATCCCTTATCTTCACTTAGAAGACTAAGTAATTTCTTATAAGGGCCGGATTCTTATAACGGAGGCTTGGGTTCGCGCCCATGGCAGTCCATGTAGGATTTATAGTCGATAAAGTTACACTGGGATAGATTTTCCTCTGAGCCCTTCGGTTTTACCCTGTTAATATAATTCCACCGCTGTTTCATACTCTCTCCTGTACCATCTGGGGGAAGGGGGTGGACAATAAGGCAGTTAGAGATCCGTTTCCATAGAAACACAGTTTCATCCATCGCAATGATAAAAAGGCATTTTTGACGTAAATATGTCTATACGGAAGGATCATTCGGCAAAAAGGCGTAACGAAAATGTGAACGATTCATATGTAAATATGGACCGACAACAATGGTCAGCTTTTATATGAACTCCTTCGTGCATTGTTATGTTACCTAATTGTTATGTCATTTGTTTACTCGACAGTTGTCTTTCATTAATGCCGTCAGCAATCCGCTTTCGTTATTGCGGAAAGAGCTGATCTGTGAATCGTTTGTAGATGAAGTTCGTCGTAGACTAGACAATTTTGTGCTGGTAAAAACGTTTTAGAATATCAAAACTACTTATCTTATATAAGAATTATTTCATTACATTACATTACATTACAGATACGTATTTAGGTCAGATTCTCCGGAACAGTGGTTCCACTGTCAACTTTTTTTTTAAGATGTTCATTAACTTTCTAGGAAGACTTTACATCAAGGAGATAATTAGATTATGAGATATATCGATAAAATATATTTATTTTAATCTGTTAAATTTCTAACTCATAATTTATTATTTTATTGCTTCTAATAGTTGAAATAAAGACTGACAGGCCTAGTGAAACCTTTTATTTTATTTTGATCAGATTTTCTTCTCCTTCTTCTTTTTTTCAAACACATCCCTGTACTTGTGGTAAGACACTATGAGCAATCCTAACTTCTGTACACCTGTATTTATTCAGTTTGTTTCGCACGGGCCAAGTCACAACTCATAGTGAAGTATGTATATAAAACTACTGTTAACGACTGTAGTCGAAGGCAAAGTGCTGGCAAGGACGTAGCAATGTCTCCCAAAATCGCATTCGCGGTATTACTCGTGTTCAGCACAGTGCAGGTACGTGTAAAAGTTGAAACAACACACTTTCGCTTTTGCTGCAGTAACGGAAGTCCGCTCACTAAAATATTTTAAAATTCTAAGTTGTATTACTTTCACTGAATCATGATATAAGTTAAAATCGATTAATTAAACAGAAAGATTTTGTGCATTACTAAATTAATATTATTTATTATATACAGACATTTAAATTAGAAGGTAGGTAAACTGCTGTGTACTGAAAATCCATAATTATACTTACGACTTCTGAAATTTCTAAAATCTAATCAGTACTATTGCTTAATTGACGTCGAAAGAGAGACGCTATAGAGGACTGAAGATGGAGTTGGGAGGGGAAATACAAAATATGCATATAAAATTTTGACTTTAAAAAACACATTGAAAATCGTGTCAAAGAATACCGGAAGAACATTAAAATTTACCTTCAGAGGAACAGTACTAAAATGGATATCAGATAAAAGGGTTACGAAAATGTAAAGTTGACTGAACTGCCTTATATTTGGATTCAGTATATGAACATAGTGACGAACCTTCACAAAAGCTGAGAAATTTGCAGAAGGCTGGCCACATTTTAATTCGTACAGAAATATTCAACTACAAAGTTAGTACGTCTGTCTGTCCGTAACTTAGACTGTGATCTACGTTAAAACGTCCCTATATCAGATTCAGTAAGGCTTTTATGAATACATTGATAAAACGCCTCGTTATAAAAAAGAAGGATTTTTTTTTATATTTCAACAGCTCAAGGCTACAGCGTACTGTGGAGTTAGCAGTCAATCAATTAAGATGTAAACTTCATTGAATAATTCTAAGAATGGGTCTAGTGACCATGGTGTTAACGATGTTGAAACTTTGGGTTCTGTAGCCAGATTGTTGCAAAATAAATTCGTGTATTATTTAGTTTCTTCTCCGTATTCTAACAATTTTATTAACTTCTGTTGTAGTACCTGGAGGCAAATGATCGACAAAGCCGGGATGTCGGTTCAGATCTTCTGCACAGTCTCCTCAGTAAGGCGCTTCCACTTATCGATAGATATTTCGACCCATTCTCGGGCACCGTTAGAAATGCAGCCGAAATTGTCGAAGCTCTGCTGAAGGATGTGAACAACAGAACTGGCGTTTACCTCCTCAACACCTCCAGCGTCTTCCAGAACTTGAGGAATCTTATCGGAAAACTTCAACCGCGCCTTCAGGATATCGGAGAAAACATAGCCAACTGCGTTATAACCGAGAAGGGAAACGTACTGGACATTATACGCGTAGCAGGTAAATGTTCCTAACGACGCTCCATCAACAGATGTTACCATATAGAGAGATATAACATGATAATTATCTTTGTTTTGTTAACTTATGACGCAAAAATTGCTGAGGTAGTGTAGCGTCGAATTAGAAACTTTTCAATAATTATGTACGATTACTTTATATTTTAAAATACTGTAACAATTATTGACGGTGGAATGAGATATGGTGGAACAGTTTCGAATTACAAACAGCCTGCTGAGGAGACGGTCATGAATTATTTTAATAAACTCTTAAACAATTTATCTATAGACAGAAGAAAATTAGGTCCGGAGACAGGTTATCCACACTGGAGGGTTTTTCTCAGTCCCTTCACGCAAATATCGTGATAGTGCCTTAAATTAGGCCACGACAACTTCCTTCCAGATCCTTTACAATCCATTACAATCATCTCATTCTACGCTATACAATCTGAGCTACTGAAAAAAGCGTCTTTAAATAAACTACAAATAAATATAATAATAAGATAATTAAAAAGCGTTCGTGTAGGTAGCCGTTTTCAGTTATGGATTTAGACTGGGTAATTTCTGATTGACTTGATTCTTAGGTTACGACACCGTCTCCACCGCAGATGTTAGGAGGTCGTGGCCTACTTAATAGTACTGACCAAGCATTCGCCTGCTCTCACTAAGGAAACCCCCCAAAAAATTCAGAAAAATCTTTAGCCTTCTATTCATTTGCAAGACAGTTTATTTAGTCGTACTCTGCAGTGCTGTGAATATTCCACCAGGCTTTCATTGTGTTACTCAATTACATCTTCCGTTCCTTACAGAGAAAGAAGCAGAAGCTTGTGGTCTGGGACTCGTGGAGCAAATCCAGCCACTAGCCATCAACATCTCGCAGACAGTCACCGAAATACAGAATGTGGCCGTTCAGTCGTACCCCAGCATTACCGACTGCGTGACGTCAAACGCAGCCAACCCCATCGCTCTCCCTGGATGTTTAACCAGGGTTATTGGCCCAGTGTTTAATGTCGTATCTAAAGTTGCAGCAAAGGTCAAGACCGAGTTCCGTAAATACGAGCAAGAAAACAGCAATTTCCAAACACAATTGCAACAATGTGGTGCTGACCTACGGGCTACAGTAGAAAGTGTGGGGAACCTTGTGGAGGAAGTTCGGCAATGTGTATCCGAAAAGAAACAAAACTTTTCGCCTTAAAATATCTTTTGTCGACCAATTTGGAACATTCTAGTAGACTTCGCACTCACAGGCGTTCGAATTTCGTGTCGTTTCAAAAGTACATGTATTTCGTAACAGACGACAATACAAATAGGTCACTGTCACGTAATTTTAAAACGCATGAAAAAAATACAACGTAAAATATAACGGTATGTTAGGTTGACATTCCATCTACACAATGATTCTTGTGTTTATTGTGAATCCACTACATGTTTCAACCTTAAATGGTTACCTTCACGTGGTTCTCTTTAAGTATTGGAAACTAATAGATATGACTGCTAATTTGTGGACACATTTTCTGTTGTTGACTTCACCACGTAATGGACTGACAGAAAATGTGTAACATAGCAGATTTATAGATAAGCTTTATGCAGCAGCGTGTCCAAGTGTCAGTATTCATGGCATATTTATCAGCGGTGTCTACTCCGATATGTAACAGGCCTACACTTAACCTGACATAAGATTTTCGGTACGTCCTACCATTATTAGCGTTTCTAGGCACATTTGTCATTCTTTCCAAACCATATATAAAACGAAACATGTTTAAATTACAGCAACCACAGTGACAAAGAAAGAGACACTATGACAGAAATTTTACAATTTTACCAATCTAAAACTTCAAGCATTACAATTTAAAATAGAAAAGTCAAATTATTACAAAGCTTTATAAATTTAATAGTTTAAATCTGTATCACGGCTTTGCCTATGTACGCGAAATATGTGGGGTTTATTGAGATAAATAACTAATCCCTTCGCTTGATTACATTCGCAAATAGGTTTGAATCAGGTGGTAAACAAAATAAATAATAATATTATACACAAAAGAATGGACTTATAGGATTAAAATACTTGCATACAGTTAGTACTTAAAAACTGCCCAAAAAATATCTTCCATATCTATTTATATTTCATTCCTCTTTTTGACTCTACAATTCTGAGAAAGTTGGCTACATCCTTATATGAAGTTGTATAGGCCTAAAAGTTCAAATAGTGTTATCAAAGATAACACGAAAAGATTGCTCGATACTATTAAAAATAATGCAGCTAACGGTGATAAAATTCACATTTCCAGTTTCGAATTTGGTTCCTCAAAACGACTATATGGTATATTCGTGGTGCCATATTTTTATTCTTACAAAATACTTTCTGTTCGTTTTCTGCTCGTATGTTTAAGATACTTCTTGGCTGCTCTCAAGGCGACACATAGATCACAAAGTCACTGATTTACATTACTTTACACACCACCCACAAGTACGTCATGTGCTTATGGAGCCTACTTGTGATGATTATGTAGTGTACTAAAGGAATATGATGATAAAATAACAGATATTGTGAAATACGCTGTGTACAGCATAATTAGAAATATCTTACAAAGAAAGTGGCACTTGGAGTTAGAGACTCAATACTTTTGAATAGTTCTAAAACAGATTTTAAAATTGTATTATTTCTTGTTGCAGTAACAAGGGTCAAAGCGGAATTTTTAATTAGTATAACTGATAGTGCCTACTGTATGTATTTGTCACTAGCTGCCTCAACCATACTAAGCCTGCAATATTTCAAGAACAGAGAATCAATTCTGAGACATTTCAATTGAGGAATCTGTTTAAAAAACTAGCAGAGCTATTATACCCTAAACGGTCAATAACGTAAACACAGTAGAAGAAACTTTTAACTTCTTAATGACGTTATCGTAACTTATGAATTGTCTCTTCCTTCAAGATTCCTTAGAAGAAACATCACACACAGAAACTGCACCTAAGACCGAATAATGTTTTAAGCAAGAAACAGAGAAAACATCTAATGTCAAACAAAAACATTACTTCCTTAAACCTAATACAATCCAATAAATTCCAGAAAACTATTTAAAAGTGTGACGAAATATACTGTACTGTTAAAATATATAATATAATTCAGGTCTATACACAAACTTTATTTACAGATGTTAAAATTTAAAATTTAAAATTTGCGCTATTCATCCTTACTACGATGTTACAATACTGCGCCTTCATTATATATTTTAATTATAAAACTCAAACATGACGCATTTAAACTTTATACTGTACTGATTTAAATTAAAACCAGATTATGTGAAATAAATTCAAATCATGACGACTATTATGTTGTTGCTATGAGTTTCGGCGCCTTGAAAGAGGAGACGTTGGCTTCTAAACGGCGCCAAAACCCAGAACAACAACATCGTCCTCACCGCCGAGGAAACCTGAAACCTCGCGTGCGTTGCTGTTACTTTTGTCGGACTAAATATATCGATAAATTTATTTAAAACCATTCTCAAACGATTACTTACCTGCCACTTTACGTAATATCCTATAGGTTCCTCAACGTCTCTTAGTCCTGTCTTTTAAATCATCAACTTAAAATAATTCTCTGGTGGTGTTGTGGAGTGGGCTACTCTGTTTATCATTATATGAACCCTGAAAATACGCAGATATAGCCGACTTCTTAGAACTACGTTTATCGGTTTCATCAGACGTTCCCGGCTATTCAGTAGATTTGCGTCACAGTGCGGATTAACCTGTAACGTGCGCCGAAATTAACGCTGCACCTTCGATCATAGACTCGAATTAAGTATATAATAAAACGCATTTACATCTCTTGAAATGTGCCTACCTTAAACTAAACAAACTGACCTCATAAACAATAGAAACACAAAACAGTTATTTTCACGTAACGGATTTCTTGATAGCGTTACATAATATTGCATCAATTTTGTGTTTAAATGTGAAATATTTTTATATTTGCACAATTGTAATACATCAGATATCTGATAAAATATATATTGTAGCAATACAATACATGAATTATTCATCGCCCTAATGACGGTGGCAGTATGACCTCTGAAACGTTGGTGGAAATTTACCAGGCTGCACGGCGCAGTAACCCAGGAGACAGTAACCTCAAATCCTATATATTTATGTTAATTGTCATACCAAAAGCATCGACCTACCGGATCTCAGTTATCAAAATCGTAATCTACTTCAATCAGCACGAACACTGCAACTTAAACATCCAGACTGTTTTCAGGAATGTCAAGTTCTGTCGATACGACGTAACAAGAACAGACTATGAGCGGCAGAGATGTAATTAAAATGTATAGAACGCCTTTCTCGAACACATACGAAATTAAGAAATTTTAGAATAAATGACAATGGAAACTTTTAAGGGAAAATCCACGAATATGAAAAATTATTTCCACCTAAAGAAAGGTTGACTACAAGTTCCCAAAAGAAAATCCCGAACCAACATTCAAGAGGATACTATCTGCACTCCCAGTTAAAGTACAATTAACGATGTAAAAGATGAAACCTTACATCGTCTAACTATATAAAGAAATATGGTGGTGGTGATGATGATGATGATGATATTGTAAGAACGTACGCCATTGGAGATACTCTCACACACGTGTTCACGCTCATTGAAATTATACAGAGTTCACAAACAAACTGAAACCATTTTTCAAATCCACTGAAATAATTTGTCACATCTCCCCAATATTTCACAACTGTTATGATAGACATACATTTGTGTATGTACATACGTTTCAAGGCTTTATTTAAGATGTTTCATTAATTGAAAATAATATGTTTGCACAGCTTGCTTGGGACAAAAGAACATTCTTTAATTGTCTGTGGGTCCAATATAAACCTGTGGAGATATGAGATGATACACAAAGCCTCCGTCGTAGCTTCAGGACACAGATATCGATACGGTGTGTCATGGCTGCCAAAATCGTCTTTTTCGCACTTGTTGCGTTTGTAGCAATACAGGTTGGTATTAATCTCCATTGCGTATAAATTATTTTATTTTATTTTTTACAGTAGTTGTCGTCGTCTCTTCTGCTTCCTAGTCTCAGGTTCTTGGTTCGAATCTTGGCTCAAAGCCGGGTTATCAAGTCTCAGCTGTCAGTTCGGATAAACTGATACAGAACGAAAAGAAAGGCCTTGGCCACTTTCTTGAACAAACGTTTAAATTTATAATTCATAGTCAGAATACGGGCGATTAGTCTTCTAAAACAATGGTATTCAACCTTTTTTGTTCGCGTACCCCCAGATATAATTTCTCTTCAACTTTTTACCGCCAAAGTTGTTGGTGTATAATTCAAGTTATACATAGTATATAATCTACATCTAAAATAAATTAAATAAATTACATTACTTATTATTCAGTGTTTATCATAATTTTTTTTAAAATTTCACGTACCCCCTAAGATGTCTTCGCGTACCCCCGGGGGTACGCGTACCCCAGGTTGAATACCACTGTTCTAAACCACATCCGAAGTACGGAGAGATAAAATAGAGGGGCCACGTAAAAATGTACTTCATAATAATAAAGCTTGAACAGCCAGTGAGGAATATATAACACCGACCTGATTTATTTTTACTAGAAAATTAGACTGTACATGAAGTCGGTACCAGGACCGATAAAGAATCCAGCTGCATCGAAACTCTCATTAAATCTGTATAGTACATTAACATTTCCTGAACGTACTTGTCACTATTTAAAAATTACATACAGTTTATAGTATTAAGTTTCTATGGTAACCATGGCGTGCCTCATTATGCGTTATGTACACTCAGTGCACAGATGCAACTCATACTGTGGAGTAAAACTGCCTGAGCGTGAAGCTAATCACTGAGCTACAGCTAGTGTCGACATCTCGAGAGCTCCACAAGGCGTGAAGACCGGCCACAGTAGAAACTTTACTTTTACTTTTAATTACAGGGTTTGAGTGCTTCTAGTCTACGACAACGTAGCATTTGGGACGATGTGAAGTCAAAACTGGAAAATGCTGGAAATGCAGTAAAGGAAGAAGCAGATAAAATTACGGATGCTGTAAAGGCAGCAGCTGATGCTGCTGAGAATAAGGCAAAGGCTGCTTTTCAGGACGCTGTAGATAAAATTCATAATACTCTGAGCGACGCCAAGAACGCCGCTCAAGAAGCGTTGGATAAAGTCCATAGCGTAGCAAAAGAGATAGCCGACAAAGCGAAAGAAGTCGTCGACAAAGCGAAGCAGGACCTTTCTAACCTGAAACAGGAAGCTGAAGAGAAGGTCTCTTCTTATCTAGAGCAGCTAAAGAATCTTGGGCAGGGAGCTCTAACGTGTGCCAACTCCAATCAGGACAAAATTAAGTCAGTCATCAATGCAACTGGTAAGATACACGGATATTAGTCAATTTTCCTGTGTGTATAGTAGGTCTAGAAAAGAACAAGAATGGGAATTAGTATTCCAGAGTACATATACTTCAACGATCTTCATATTCCAGAGGCTATATTAGCCGTGTTAGCCCAGCAAACATGGTTAAAGTAGACGCTCCAGCCGTCAGATTCATTTACTGCGTATACACATCCACCGTTAAACAGATAGTACCATTACTACACCTATCCAGCGATTATTTCTCTTGCATTTAGTTAAATATTTACCGGGTAACACTTAAAAATCAAAAGTCATTCTTCCTTGGTGAAAGGAAATGGCAATAGAGAAACCGACAGAACGTGAATTTTTTTTAAAAGAATCTTAGGGGTAAAGGTGTGACAAATTCTCTAACTCAGGTTAGGGAACGACTGCTCACTTCGGCGTAAGTTATGTTCAAATTCTTAATCCTGTTACTGATAAGTGTTTTCTTCTTGCGTTACTTAACTAATAAACCAGCCAGTCAATAGTTTTGTTATCTATTAAAATGCTGAGTAAATATCAAAACTTATCACGCACATTTTTCATCCACAATTTAAGTAACGCTAAATGATTAAAATATTTTCGTTTTTTCAAGTACTTTAAGTTGTGACATTTCTTCAGAAGATGATATGCTAAACATTAATTATATTTTCGTTTATGATAAGACTAGGAATACAACAGTCTTTCAATATTTACTCAGAATAGGGAGCATGATTAGGTACATAAATAGGATAAAATACAATTACAGGAATCACAATATCTTACGTACCTTTAAATAAAAAACCAAGATAACGTTCACTATATCTTAATTCAGGGTAACAGAACACGCTGAAGGCTTTCAATGTATATTATCTTCTAGTAACAGATTACAATTATAGCAGGATACGGTCTCAAGATATGGTAGATAGCTGCTAATATAGGTCTATTGAACAGAAGTCGTGGACAGCCGAAAAGATATAGTCCTCCATTTTGGGATTTTTTGAGGGTAACTACCAACTTCTCACATTAAAAATACCAGCATATTACAAAATGAAGATATAATAAGCCGTGCGAGTGGAAATAGCTGTTTCAGCTCACACGACTTATTTCATCGCCCTGATGATGAAGGTAGCATGGACCTCTGAAAGGTCGGTAAATTTCTACCAGACTACACGGTGCAACAACCCAGAAGACAGTCATCTTCAAACTCACCGCCGTGAAAACCTCAAATCCTACGTGTTGCAAAATGTTAACCTGGGTGTAAGTCGGAGGATAATACTAAAGTTGATCTCAAAGAAACGCGGGTAGAACGTATGGATTTGATTTATATATCTGAGGTTAGTGACCAGGGATGGGCTCGTGTGAACATAGTAATAAACCTTCAGGTTCGATACAAGACAAAGATTTATTGGTTAGCTGAACGTAGCAGTTACTTAATTGCATCTTCCAATAGCGTGACAAACTATAACATTCATATTACCTCTTCTCGTAATCACACACGGTTAAGATATTCTCTGTGCCTGAATTATCAAAAGGTAATTGAACATTGGCACTGTATTTTCACTTCTTTATCTTTACACAGAACCCAAGGTGCAGAGTTGCGTCGCAGGTGTACAGGAGAAAGTCGTCCCCTTCGTTAAAGACGTGACTGAGACAGTCCAGAGAGTGGCAGACTTGGGCGCCAAAGCAGCAGATGTCGCGTCCACTTGTGCGCCAGCTGGCGTTAGCTGGGTTACCGCGCTCGCCTGCTACGTCGCAGAAATAGTCTCCGTATCCGACGACGTAGCCAAAGACATCTCCATCATCACCAAGGATGTGCCAGAGATCATCCAGTTGGCACCTCAAGCAAAACAGGAAGTGGAAGCTTGCGCTGCCGATGTAAAGACGACGGCGGCAGACGTTGATCAACTTATTAACGAAATTTCTAAGTGCGTTAAAGACTACACCTCATCGGCTGCATAAGACGTAAGAAGACGGGAGTCGCTGGTGCTGATGGCGGAGAAACACAGGATGTTCTGAATGTAAAATTTTCGAAATTGTACAGCACCAGAAAGAAATGGTCTTTATAAACATGTCATTCTTTACTATCATACTTTAAATGTTAATCTATTTGCTACCAATAGCAGTCCATTTTCCTTCCACGATCCTCACAGCCACTTTAACTTCTTGTGACAGCAGCACTACCTCAAAGAAGGGGATCACTTTGGAGACACAGGCATCATGGGAAGGATGATATTAAAATGGATCTTAAATAAATTGGATGTGAGGGTTGAGTTTGATATAATTTGTTCAGGGCAGGATATAGTATTGGACTCTAGTGAACAAAGCAATGAACCTTCGAGTTACATAAGCGACAGGACATTTTTGGCTGACTGATTTGACTATTGCCGTCTCAAGGAAGGTTCTGCCCAGTTGAGTTAGTTGTGACTGGCAATGAGAATTATTTCTGAAGAGTCTTTTAAACAAAATGGTGGCTGGACCTGGACTGATATATGAAAGGATTATAATACAAACTCGTTCGCTCATTCATTCGCAATTTTGGTCTTTCGACACGCGAGCTGGTGACGTGGAACAACAAAATTATTGCCGTTCAGTGCATGTCTTTAATTATTGTATGTTAAAAGTACTTGGAGAGAAACGCAATTTTTATAAGCACAATGCATTATGGAAACAGAACAAAAACATGCCGAGCCTTGAATTAAGTGATTATGGTGGTTGTTGCAGCTGTGACGTAACTAGGCGTCTGAAATTTGTAAGTTTAAATTCTGTGTCAAAATCTGTTAACATTGTAATGCAGGGTAACGTCGTGTTCTTTATAAATTTCCCACCAAATCACCGTCATTTTTAAATCACAAATCCGCAGTCCGTGCCACTTCTCTACGCCGTTTTACCTTTAAACCAGGAGGTCGTCGTCGTTGTCAGTGAACTGTATGAACATGTGACAATGCCTTGACGAAAGGTAACCGCTAATATTTTCAAATCATAAAGGTCGATCCTTTTTAAGCAATAAAATTCTCTATGACGGGATTTAATTTTCCTCCCAAATGTCAAACCTTGAACGCTTGCATAATTCTTATTCGGTGTTTGTTATTCATCAGACGCCAACATGTATTATGTCTCAGTGTTGTACGCAGGCTTGCGCGTTAATTACTACGCTAGTAAGGCAATATTGCTGTCACTTATTTACACAGTTTGCATACTACATACACTAATTAATGAAGTGTTTTAATTAATAATCCTTAGACACAATGAGAACAGGCGAAATACTTTAGGGACTATTTTGTGTAAACAAAAAGCATGACAAATATTTATGGAGTGTTTGTTCTCTAACTTTTTCCAAGTTACAGCACACTGAAACAGAATTAATTATTTTACTGCATACAGAATGGTGCGTTATTATGAAGTTGCCTGTGTGGACAGACTTTGTTAATATATTTCATCAGACTTCTTTGTTATAATGAATAACTCATGCAATATGCTTACGAGTATATAGGAAACATAAATGACTACCATATTTTTTTAAATGAGTAATGAATTTTGAGATTGGAAAACAAAATTAAACTTAGGATTCTTCTTAAGTAACTAGTAGTCGTTTGGCTAATTAAGAAATTCCCCGTGTTTCATGGCATCTGAAAGCCCAGTATCGTGGTCACAAGAGCAAACCACTTGCCCCTACCCTGGGAAAGATGAATCCAGTGCACATCCTTCCACCCGATTTCTCTAAGACACACAATATCACCCGGTCGTCTACGCCTCGTTCTTCAAATTTATTTCTCATATTAAGTTTAAAAGCGGCTACTCTCTGACAACGTAACGTGAAAGAAGGAGGATTTAAGGTTTTCACGGCGTTGAGTCTGAAGATGGCTGTCTTCTGTGCTGTTGCGCCGTGTAGAAGATAAATGTGGAAATCAAGATAGCAACAAAGTAACAAAGGAACATCAGCATAATTAGATGAAATGACACAATAGGTCTGCTCGGCGTGTTACTGACAGATATTAACACAATTTGTGAGCGAGTGTTATGAAACGCTTTTCGGTTCAGAATGTCCTGTACAGATACAGCGGATGTCTATTAAAGTATACTGATTTAAGCGGCAGTTCATTTATTTCTTCAATACAAGCAGAAACAAAACTTTGGACTCGTTACGATGCGACAGCTGCTTCAAGCAGGAAAATTTTAAAGTTACAAAATTAACTCATACGCACATTACGCCTCAACCAAATAAGTTAAACTTACTGTAAATAATATTACATTATTTTTAAGAAGTTCTCATTGTGATATATTAAAAAATCTTAAAATCACTCGCTGTCTTGTTAATGAATTGGGGGTGCCGATGAAGTACAGAAAATATAATCTAACATGCAGAACATTGTTCATACAAAGAAACTGCGTTAAGAGGTGACATTTCAGATTCCCACGGTGGCGAGTATGAAGACGGCCTCAGTAAGAACCCAAAATGCTACACAAAAATTCTGTTAGCTTCACATTTCGGCCATCTTCATCGGAACAGGAAAGGATCTGTAATCCCAGTGGATGCAGCTCGGAGGTAAGAAAAAAAACTTGAACATCAGTGCTGAGAATAGAACCCTGCCTTTAGTCAGGTAGCCATGGCCCCTAAACACGTGAACAACAACTTGATCACACAGACAGAGGCAATTAGGCAGTTTGTCATGGTATTTGCACAGACTGTGAGGCGTGTGCGAGCATACATTAATTGATGTATATATAGGTGTTCGTATGTGGAATTCACTGGAAGTTCTCGCTTCATTCCACAGACATTACTGGCCATGGCGACAAAATTCGTTTGCGTAGTGCTTATGGCGCTGTGCGTGTTGCATGTGAGTACCGTCTTAAATATGCATCTCATGTTTCAATTGTTGCTTTGAGGAGTACTTTATCATACTTTCTGTTTCTCGCTTCGGAAATTTATGAAGAACACTTCGATACATTTTTATAATGAAGCGAATATAAATTATCAATAATGCTAAAATTAACTATTAAAATAACGAAATAATGTTATCTACGAACAATAATAAAACATGCAGTAGACTCGTGTATATGTCTGTCAAACGATGAAGGAATGTTTCGCTGAACACATGAATAATAATAAATCTACCTGCAATTTAACTCCAAATAAAGAGAAATTTTACATGTCAAGATTGCTAATATGTTATTGAAAATAAATTATCTAGGCTCTAAATTTTTAGAACGTGGTGATGTACTTGGGCACTATATTTCTATTTTTAACCCGCATAAATACAAATATTCTAAGCCGTGTTATGCATGCGTTCAAGAGAGATGAAGAATGAAGTCAGGGAAGTCTTGCGTTTACCTATACCAGCAATTGGTGTAAATAGAGAATAATAGATAGAATATTTACACATAAAGCCAGAAGACAGACTATAAAAAACAATCACTTGCTGTACACATGGGAATTATATAGCCGATATTCCCATACCTTTTAATCGCGTAATTGAAGTCGGAAAATGCTTTAGTCAGTGTTAAAAGTAGACAGATTTAACTAAGTACTTATTGGAATAACCCACATTAAAGTGCAAAAATCTTCAAAATGGCCAAAACGTAGTTTATTTAAATAAGCATAATGTGTTACAAGGTAAATTCTTGATTAAAAATCTGTTTACCAAAACAAACTATTATAACAAAATTATTGTGTAAATGAGAACACATCTAAGAACCATTTCGTAATAATCATCTTTGAATAAGCAATAAATAATCTACTGATAGACTTACAGTCACGAAACGTATAATCTGAATCATAATGCAACCACCGAAACCTAACCCATGTTTCCCAAGCATTCTATCTGTCTCCTCCATCGGAAGTTTCCAGTTAACATTTTGCCTGCTACATAGTCATCCCATCATCTAAACTTTTTGAAAGAGTCATAATGAAATGTAATCACGAAATTCCTCTTTACAGACTCAGAATGTTTCAGCTCATGATCGACGAGACATCGGCTTCCCCCAAATTAATTTCTTGGACCCAATCGGGAGCATCGCAAATTTTAAAGACTTCATCGTTAATGTGACTTCGGGAGTGATTGAAGCGGGAAAAAACGCAATATTGACGGTAGAGAATTCCAAGAACGCACTGGAGTCCTTGGCAGGATCGGTTGTGGAGTCGGCGAAAGCAGAGATCGGGTCCCTCTTGAATGCAACAATAACCAAAATAGAAACTGCTGTGCGCAACAGTCCAATTGGACCTGCAGTACACGTTGCCGAATGTGGGGGCCAAGGAATTAAGACGGCTATTGCAGACGCCGCTGCAACCGGTAACTGCTTTCTAACTGATCAACAGATCACAAAACCTCATCACCGTGTTCACAAAATCCCTCCGCTGGAAATGCGTTCAAATATTCTAATCCAGTCCATCACCTCATAGCCTATTGCATTTAAACTTAATTTTGATACCAAGTTGGCTGTCTTCTGGGTTGCAGAACCGGTCACGTTTGGTAGAAGTTCATCATCGTTTCAGGGGTTCTTGTTGCCTCCATCATCATGGTGACACCGCGGAAGATGGTGAACTTCTACCAGACTGCATGGTGCTGCAATCCAGAAGACAGCCATCTTCGAACTCAGCCTTAAAAACCTCAAATCATCCTTAATTTTAATACTGTCCTTCCATTCATGTCAAGGTCTCCAAGTGGCCTTTTGCCTCCAGATTTCCCCCCGTAAATTTTGTGAGATTTTTTCTTATTCTTATGCTTGCTACATGTCTCGCCTATTTTATTTCTGTTTATTATTAATTACTCTAATTATCTCTTATGTGAAAAGAACAAATTTTGAAACGTTTCTTTGTGTACGTTTCTCCACCTTGTTAATTAATCTTTCTTAGGACAAAATATAATTTTCAACAACTTGTTTCCAAAAGCCCTTAATCTAAATTCTTACATTAGAGTGAAAGATAAAGCTACACAAAGAACAGGAAATATTATAAGTTTTTATATTTTAACTTTTAATATCTAGATAGGACCCGAATGATAGATGTTCCCAAACTGAATAAAAGAAAATATTTCAATAGTCTGACAAGTTCATAATTTCGTAATGTGGTTATTATTTCAGTTGATGGCGTCGTCGGCTGCGTTGTCAGTCAAGTTAATGCGATAATTAGCCCGGCGGTAGACCTCATAGCTCAGAGTGCAAGAGGTATTACTTTGGGTTCCGAGACCTTCAATAATTTGACGTCAACGTGCTTCCCGAATGGATTTTCAACACTCGACGTTCTGAGTATCGTCCCAGATTTGTTGTGTGCTACAGCGAAATTCGGCGACACTATCAGCGCATTAATCAACATTGTCTCAAACATCCAATCTGACATCCAGAACTTCGAAACAAGTGTCAACAACACACGGAACGCCGTAGTGCGTTGTCCCAGAGTGACGGAGGCAGACCTCGTAATTAAATTTGGCAACACTATAACCAATTTTGCCAACTGTGCTTTAGGGAATAATGCATAATCAACGGCCGCAGACATGCCTGCACTCCCTGAACCTTAATTTCATTTGATAATCGATGTTCGTATCGATTGTCAACACTGATGCTTCATTTCTTTTTAGGAACTAGTCAACACTGCGTTACAATATAAGGCAAATAAAACACACAAATCAAGCATTAATATATTAAGATTCAAATAAAGAAATATATGACATGATTTGACAATATAATCGATGTATCTGTAATGATATTTATGCAAGCCTTTATTCACCACTGAGCTGAGCGATGCACGAAAAGCATATACAGATCTATATATAAAAGTAAACTGAAATATGATGGGCTACTACATTTCATATGTATTAATTTAATATTAATAATATGTTCATTTAAAATGGCGTTCATTTAATAAATATAATTTGTGTGTTACATTTTGTACAGAATTTCTTTCTTTAATTTCACAAAAATTTATTATATGTGCAAACTTCAAACATACACGCAACCCACCAAATAAAGTAATCGATACAGACTACTAAATTCTGTGTATACTTAATACTCCAACTTTATAATGTAGGCATTATGAAACAAAATGTCTAATTCCATTGCACAGGTTCATCATTTAAAAGCTGCTAGTGTATAAGCTAGTAAAGAAATTATTGACTTTTAAGGGGCTCGAATGTTCGCTACAATAAGCAAACAGAAAACGCAACTGGACACTATTTTGAGCCAGTTAAACCCAGTCATTGATTTCAAAAACATTTCTCTTAGATAAAACGTAATATTCCTCCACCTATGCTCGAACGTGTTACCTTCCCTTCCCAAGCCACTGTTTATTCTACATAACACAATATGCTGTCTTTGTTTGGCGAGGTCTGATAATACGTTCACGGTTTAAGTAAGCTGGACAAAATTATAGAACTGTTTGAGATTTCAAACTTCACATCGTTTCTTATACTAAATTCTTAAATAACAATAAATTGCGTTGTTAGCTTACTTACTGAAAGTCTCTCTCTTAATCTTTGACCACCACTAATGATAATTTTCATACGGAATACTCCTTTCGAGTGGTAAAACATAGAATTCTACTATTGTACCGCACAACACATTTAATTTTTAATGACAGCGACATTAAATGTGAGAAAAGACCTGACGTAAGGCAAACGTTGCTTAATTATCCTCCATGGATACCTTCCTCGATAACAATACTGGTTCACTAAAGTATAAGAGGCGTTCATGAATCACCCATTACACTATCACCACGTTGCATGCATCAATGTCAACAAATAAGCTGTGCACTTACCATGTAAATCCGCAATTGCTGATCGTTTCAATGGCCACTGATTTTGCCGGCCCGAACTGGTTAAACAATCTGAAACACAGCATGAAAATTTTGTCAACATAAACCACTTCCAGACAGCAAACTCAAGAAATCAACAACACGCTGTGCCGTGCCAGATACAAACTAAATCTTGGGTCGCATGACAGGAAGCACCTTCGCTGAGGCACTGTCACATATTAACGAGCAGAAATTACCACGAGCAAAACATTTACCATAAATTATTCTAATCTGACATTCGTATGATTACGGAAGCTTTACTGAGAATAGCACAACATGTCTCGAGGTTACAAACACTCTAGTCGCAGGAACATAAAAATGTAACCGTCAGGACATGTAGCGTACTTCTGCAAGTCGTCGCTATTATTGTAATTCTCGAACACTTAGAATGTATTAAAAATTTAAAATTCAAAATTAATTAAAGTCTCAAAAGTAGAAGAAAACTTAAAATTTATAAATCTAAAAAAAATGAATACTAAATTTTTAAAATGTCCAAGTTGTTAAATTTTTAAAGTGTCAAATCCTCTAAAATTTTGAGAATTTGTAATATTCTGAATAAATTAAAATTGTGGGAACCATTAAAATTATAAAATGTTTAAAATTTAGAAACTTTAAAGACTAAAAAAATTCTGAAATTTTGGGATGCTTTATGCTATTACATTATGCTTGATGTCTGTTTTGTTGATGTAGTTGGGTCAGGTACCACGCGTATGGCCGGGTCGGATCTCAATATCTTTTTTTTTAGGGCAGGCTAGTACAGGTGGTGACATGTTATTTATTACAGATTAGGACAGTATTAAACAGGTTGGGCCTCGCATGGTCTCATCTTTACAGGTTAACTCTGGTTTCGACACATCCGCAGAGGTTTAGTCATTTTTAGACATTTTAGAATAGGTTTCGACAAGTTTCTACAGTTTAGGATTTGTTTACATAGGAATTCGCATACGTACTAGTTCAGTAACCACCAGACCATCAATACTCCGCCTCACGATTTTGAGTAAGTGTCTCCGATAGTATTAAAGTGTGCAGAATTTAGAAAATACGTTTTGACAACATGCAATATGTCCTGTGTGTAATAAAGAAGGCTGAAGCCACATACTGAGACGTGAGGAAACCAGAAGTTGAGGAGATGGCTTGCATACAAGTACTAAGCCAGAAACTCGAATTAGAAGGACAGCTAGAAATAAAGATTATGACAAACTGCAGAAAGCTGAGTTGAATTTTAAGCAAATATAAAGAGAAGTGGAAAAGGTGAGGGACGAAGTACAAGGAGGAATAAATCGTGAATTAAGGTGCAGCAAAGCTTAGGGATAGAAGTGTGATTCTAAAGGAAAGTAGAGGTCTTAAGAAATGTTAAACGAAAATTAAATACATTGAGAAATGGACAAGAGACGAGGGAGTTATGTCCAACATTGTAAACTGAAGCAACATACAAATAAATATCAGTTCAATGGACAGAATCAGGGATAGCAGTCTTGCTTCCCAAATAAGCAGAACGAACTATTTAACATGAACACGCTTCTGACCATTATTTTCTACAGCCTGAAAATTAACTCAGTGTTTGAGAATGATCTAGCTTACAAATATTTGCATCTCTCTTGACGTCACTTTCCACACATACGAAGCCTCACTAATTACCAGTACAGATGGCATTTAACGTCATTAGCCATTGTCTTTGCACTTGGGAAATCAATATCTGAATGAGGATTATTTGACTTAATTAACAAAAGATGGAGTTGTGGAAGAAATTATGCGGCTTCTTTATTTTGTTAGGTCTTCATTTGAAATGAGGAAAACAAAGAATAATTACCCAACCCGGTTAAAAAAAGGTTTGTGCTTATTTTGCAATTTCAAACGTAACTACAACGCTTGTGGTCGTCTGATATTCATATTTCCTACTCTGTTTTTTCTTTGTCCTTTGCCACACCCTTTCTTTCTTTCTTCTCTGTCTTTTCTGTAAAAGTTTTTTAGCAACAATAATAACAATAACAACTAACATTTCAACGAGGAAGTCAACCCACTGATTGTGGTTACGCACATGAATTAAGGTTTAAATTCATTAAATCGAAGTTATTATTCCCGCACGCACTAGATCATGCCTTTGCAAGTGGTCGTGCCTGCACATGGGTTAACTTCATTAAACAGTCCTTGATATAAACCATCACCCTCTTCACACAGACACAAGTCTGAGTGTGAACGGGGCATTTGGCACGATGTGCGCAGTAGCAAGTGTGCTCATGGCAGTCACTTTGATATGCACAGCAGTTCAGGTGAGTTTCGTCACCTGTGTAAATTCATACGACAAAATAAACTAAACATACGCGCTCCAGCGAAAATAGCGATAAATAACTAGTTTAAACTTCAATGCTTTTTCCTTCCCGACTTATTTAATGTCAGAAATATAATTAAGTTTACGGAATAATTTTAATTTTACAAATCTTAAATGTCTTAGCAGTGTAATGGCGTGTAAAGTTGGGACTTCCAGTAAGTCAAGCAGTACGGTCTCACAAGACGTCCTTAATTACTAATCGTTGAAGGAAGTTATTTTAATTCAATGTCGTCGTTCACTATTCCTTGATAAATTTACTTCATTTTTCAAGCATTATATTTTGAAGTATGAAACGTCTACATAGCATTTGTTCTATTCTACTAGACTAATTAATACTATATTATAAATGTAAACCTTACTTTTTCAATTGGTCATTCTTCTCCATATCTCACTCACTCACTCATCCAATACAATGGAATTCCTCTTAAGAACATGATAATCTCTGAGGTGGCAATAAATACCCCCTTTACGGAATCAGAAGGTTCATTACCATTTTCAAAATCAGTTAAAAGATCCTATCCCGAGCCATCTAAACCCAGTCAAGTTCCTTCCACGCTATTTCTTTAAAAGCACTTTCAATATTAACCTCCAAAATACAACCGATTCTTTCTACAGAATTCCAAGGTTGACATCATCTTAACTTTCAAAGATGCGCAACCTACACGCTTGGGATAATATTGCTCAACTATGAAACGAGATTTAAACATTATAGAATGTGTTATTAACATCTAAATATCCCCAGTGTGGTTCCTTTCGCCGGTCGTATTTCGTTTAACTTCGACCACTATACTTGGCACTTCATTGTTAAATACAATACACATTCAACCGGAAGTGTATACATAGAGGAACTGTTCACTCATGTAGGGTCTGTCCCCTCCGGGGCCAGAGCTAGAAGACCCAGAGCTGAAGAGCGTAATAGTTGCCGCCCAGGGGTCGCTCCGAAAGACGTTCTCGGATCTGGAATTAGAAGCTGAAAGCGCCATGGCGTCAGCACGGGATGTGCTAGAGTCAGCCACTTTCCATGCGAACCACACGGTGCTGGACTCACAAACACCTCTCATGGATCTGTTGGAGTCCATCACCTCCACAATCGTCACCGCTGGGTCCAAGGCGAGGCAGTTCGGTACCAACGTCACGTCCTGCATATATGGACAGGAAGAAGCGGCCAGAGCTGTCGTCAGAGAGACGGGTAAGGTGAACTCAACGTTCATACCCGGAACAGTAGTTTCGTATTTTCACAAAGTAAATATATAATAGAAGGGTTCCGTGTCTCAGAGTCCCGCCATCAAAATGTTCACGTCTGCAGAAAGTATTTCACAACAGACATGTGAAAATACGTCGTTGAGACCGAACTGCAATTTCAGGGTTTTTTTTAAACAAACAAGCCCATATATCTGAAACATGAATTCCTGGAAGCTGAGATCGGGCCGTGTTTCAGGAAAATTCTTACTTCCTTTGATATGTAGTGTTCTAATGTACCACACGTTGAAGTCTGAAGTAACATAACATAACATAACACGCTGAGATCTTGAAACACATTTACGCTTGTTCTGCATTTAAGATTCATAACGTATAAGACACACGAGCTAGTAGTAAGTAACTACCTTACAAAAGGATCCAAAAATGAAATTTTGTGAGAACAGTGCCATAATAAAATCGAATAATTTCATATTCCCTTGTGTAATTTCTAGCCTATCGAGATGGAGCTCATGCGTCAACAGTCATTTTTAGATGCTTTCCTAGTTGACTTTAACCACAAAACATGCTAAATCCATAGTGATCTGTTTAGGCTAAACTGCGGTCTTTTGGATGGTAACGCCATATAGTCAACTTCGTGATTACAAAACTTTGGAAGAACATATCGCCTCCGTATTCAATCCTTTCCTGAAGATGGAAGCGAAACTTTCCTCCGAAACGTTGTTAATCATCTACAACAGTACATAACATAACTCATAATACCATAATTCAACTTCAAACCATCGTGAAACCTCAAATTTCAGCTTAGACCTCTCTCATACGAAGATTTTCACGTGGACTAGATAAAAAAATTACTGGTCACATTTATTGTCACTCACAGAAAAATTGTTTGTTAATCACCGACAGGTCGCACAATCGTCGGCTGTGTCACCGCAGAGATTAAAAAGGCCATAGATCTTGCTACAAACATGTTCAGCGTTGCAAGCTCTGCCAAGAACCTGCTTAACTACGCCCCCAGGGAGCTTCAAGGGTGCCTTCCTTCCATCATCCCAACAGTTGAAGAAATAGTGAAGATCCCGTCATGCATCGGGACAGAGATCAGTGCCTTCAGTGCTGAAGCTATGAAGATTGCTAAGGTTCTGGCTTCTTACGTTACTGAAGGTGAACGCCTAGTGGAAGCGCTGGGAAGCGACCTGAAGAAGTGTTCTCATTCACAGCTCGAAGTAGGGACTCAAAAAGTGCGAGAAATTGAAAACAAAATAATTACCTGTATTCAGGGGCAGATGAGTGCCACCACAACTACCTGAAGTCTAAAACCCTGTTATTATCCTAAACACGCGTAGTGAGAAAATAAATAGCTTGTTGATTCAGAATGAGTTTTTGCCCAAACCTGGATATTTTAGGGTACTAATGTGCAATGAGATCGCGTTTATTAGCTGGACAATTGCATTACTTACGTGGTTATTGGCAAACACTAGCACGGACAAATACCTCCATGGAGCAGAATGTTCCTTGGGAATTGTCCAGTCGCTTAGCTGGGGAAGAAATACTCCGATCAAAAGTTCATTGCCGTGTTCACAACAACCATCAACCGGTCTCTATCTTGAGCCAGTTTAATTAAATCTGCACCCTCCAAGCCTATTTCCATAATATCCTTTGAATATGATCCTCCCATCTACTTCCGGGTCTTCCAAAGAATCATTTCACTTTGTGCTTTCTCCAACAAAATTTTTGGATGCATTTCTTATGTCTCCTGCACGCAACATACCAACTCATCGAACTATCCTATATTTAATCGCAACCCTAATGATGGAGGCAGAAAATGTGTCTAAAACGCCGATAAACTTCTACCAGACTACATGGCGCTACATCCCAAAACAGTGTGTTCCTTGAATACTAAATAAAATCTCAGTATTTCTATTTTCGTCCTAACAGGTTTATTGACGCTGTCATGAATCTGAATGCGTTACGTACGGGCTTAGACATACTGTTCATTCCACACGCTCACAATTGTCTAGAATCTCTGTTAAGTCGAAGGCCGGATCCGAACCTCAATTGGGTGGGAAAGCATGCATGTCTGTCAACGTTTTGCGGACCTTCTAATAAAACGGATAAACGTCTGTTTATTTCGACATGCCTGTCTATGTTTGACCGCATATTACAAAATGGCATTGTATTACTTATTGTACTTTGTATACGTGGTGTATACAAAGCTAAATTTAATTTTAACAAGAATTTAAGTCCCTGGACTAATATTTTACATGAATATCTGCAGATATTTTCATTACATGAGGTGTTACAGAGCAAAAATTTAAACATATTTTTCTGCCTACTGCAGTTCAACCAAAAGACGTGAATTTATTGATGTCGTATAAAATAAAGTTCATGAAGATACCATTCGTTCATAAGTTTAATGATTATTTTCAGATTTTCACTGCTGAGTGTATGAAGATGACTATCGTTTGAGGTATTGTGCCGTGTAGTCTGGTGGAAGCTTACCGACGTTTCAGATGTACTTTCTTTGTCCATCGTTGGGACGAACTCACTGATAATGGAGGCAGCAAGTACCTCTGAAACTTCTGTACACTTACAGAAAACTCGCACAACAACCCAGAAGGCAGTCGTCTTCATTTTATATTGCCCTCTCATCTATGACCAAGTCTCAAAAGTGCTCTTTTCCTTTTAGATTTTCCAACTAAAACTGTGCACTTATGATTTCCCTGCGTACGCTATATGTCCGGGCAGTCTAACAAATCTCGAGGTAATATTATTCCTGCGTCTGAGACATATGTTACATTTGATTAAAAGCGGCCATTGATTAAGATGATCACTGAGCAAACATGGCACAGACATGTATTCCTGTATTGTCTTTAATACAGCGGCTAACAACTTCTGCAATGGAGCATTAATTGACAAAGATCTGTGTGGAGCAGGAGTATTAGTTACTTGCGCAGTCTAAATGACGCAATCGACTCTATATTTATTCAGCTTTTATTTTCCTTCCCACTGCTTATATAAAGTGCTAAAATCTGCGATAGGTTTTCAGTAACACTGTCCCTCAACTCCTGAAGACCGTTTCTAGAAAATGGCCTCCACATACATCCTTGCTATAATGGCGATCTGCTCTGTGCAGGTAAGTGAACGCAGGATCGAACCAATCGCTTCAAGTGGTGAATTCCACTATTAAGATGATGTACTGAGAGTAAATTATGACGTTTCTCATTACATGATTTATCACACAGAATTCGTACTGGAGAAAATATTTTCCAAAAACTTCTTTCTAAATTTCAAATGTTCAAAGTTCCGACACACACACACTGTATTGATACAAATTAGATGTCATAAACTGTTTAAATAAGTCAGTGATGATTTTAAAGTCAATACTACTGAACTGGTTACATAATAACATCTAGATACCCAAAAATATTTCTTAGTAGGCTCAAATTAATTCAACCTGAATTGCTTTATTGGTACATCTACCACCCCAGACGTTAAAGCCTTATTTGAGTGCAAAACTGGTGAAGACGATACTGAAATTGTTCTAAGGAGACTGACAGTTACAATCCGCTTCTAACGCCTTTCTTAACTTCTTGTTACTAATATGTCTTCACGCTTAATGTTTCAGTTTGCCCAATCGGCTAACATCGAGAAGCGAGGTCTCCTTGACGGCATTCCCCTCGTTGGACCTCTTCTCCAGCAAGCAGTAGATCAAGTGGCGAGTGCTACAAGCAGTTTTATTAGCGACACGTTATCGACTCTTGGGGGTGGGGTCACTCAGGCACAAACCATAGCCCAAAATCACAGTGACCAAGCTACTGAAGTCAATAATGCAGCGAAGGGACCTCTGGAGAGCTTACTAAAAGCAGTTACTGATGAGATTCATTCAGTAGTGGACAATTCACTACAATACGGTTGGAATAGCACGCTTTGTGTGGCAGGACAGACGGGAAATGCTGAAAGCATCGTCAAACGAGCAGGTAGGGCTTGGTCTCGTTGATATGGCAACGATTATTATAGACTCTGTTACCGGCTTTCGGGAAAAATCCGCGTTGAGTGTTAAAGATCTTTCAATATTTCGGCAAACATTACAGTTACCACCTTCAGGGTGAATGCCTGTGTGTGTGTGTGTGTGGGTGTGGGGTGGGGGGGAGAGTGTGTATCCCTCTTCGATCTCCTGTATAAGCCATTGAATAATATAGGTGGAATTTTGAATACCAAGCATTTTGTGGAACAACGACACGTGTTACTACAGCAGAAAAGTTTCATGTCCATGTGAGGGTTTAGGTTTTTCACGGTAGTCAGAAATTGGTTTATGGTTTGCTGGTTAATGATGTAGTGTTGTCTTGAATGTGGTTACATAATTTTCGAAATAAATTTTATGGCTTTCGTCTTCAGGCGAAGACAAAACTTTATTCTCCGCTGAAGATGGAGGCGACGTGTTTCTCTGGAACGTTAGTAACCACTTACAAGACTGTATACGTCATGAACCCGAGAACAACAATCAAAATGATTTAAGTCTGTGTCTTCCGCCTGTTTAATTGTTTTAAATTTACTATGACGCCAAATTTAAGGTCTCATAGTTTAAGCATTGGGCACCTTTGTTTGACTAATTTTTATATATTTTCTTTACAGAGGTGATAGATAAACGTGTGTCTGTGAAATTAATGGAATATGATAAGATAATAAATCAAGTAGTATGCCATTAAATTTTTTTTTTTTAATGGCACACTACTTGATTTAACTAATAAATTGGGGGGGGGGGTAGTAAGCTCTTACAAGGAAATGGTGACAGTTAGGTGACACGTGACTGGACAAGCACCGAGGGACGAACTTGTAATTCTTGTCATCAGGTTTTCGCCGCTGAAGTTCGTTGTATAAATTCGGCCTTCGGTGTTAGCCCCATTGAATGATGAGTAATTAACCAACATTCCGACAAGTCAGTCTGAGACACGTTAAGTCACAAGTCTTAGTGATAGGTCGCAATGCCGTTTATCAGGAAAGGCAAACCTGGTTATACTGTGAATGACACGTGTTGGCACGTGCATTTCTTTCTTTTAAGTTAATAGCGTTTGTACTGTTTCTATTGGTCAATTTTATGCACACCTGCAAAATACCTCCAGTTTCCAAAAATACGATAAATTAAAAAGAATTTACAATATATATTATTACCATTTAGACTAAAAACATCAAATTAAAAGACGTATTAGGCTATCAAATATAATAACTTGTAAAAATAGTATGGTTATTCTAAAGAGTGACGGTTTTGAATACGTAGCATGGACATTAAATAAGTTATGGAAATATAAGCGTTGCGTGAACAATACTGGGTCTTCAAACATTAATCAAGATAACCAAGTAACCATGGCAACCTGGAGATTCCTCACACAGTAACTCCGACGAACACAAACATACGTTTTAGGCAAACTATTTGTTACTGTTATCCGTTTTAACTAAAAGTATAATTTGTCGGCAAAATCCCAAATATCATATATCACGATAATCCGCACTAAATAAAAACTAATTTTCTTTATAATGATCGCTGCAAGATAAGTTATTCTACTGTATTACCGTATGATTAGAAATTTTTTTCGCCATGTCGTCTCCTGAAATGGCAAGCAAACCTTCGAGAGTTTACGGCTTCGTTCCCTTTTGAAAGTGTAAAATTTTCTCGGACAGAACTTAGTTCAAGAAGTACATTTTCTCGGACATGTGCCCATTCTAAATTGTGGTACAGAAACTACAAATGTTGTTACTAATTGTATTTTGTTCTCTTGTTTATTTAACAGCAACGAACATTTTCGACTGCACCCAAACTGAGATCCAGTACACTATAGAGCTTCTAGGTGACATCACAAACCTCAACAACCAGGGCATAGCACTGGCGCGCTCTACTCCCAGTCAGTTCGCTTCTTGTATCTCATGGGATATAATCGGTATCTTGAGCTGCGTACAGAACATTAGCTCAACTGCAATATCTAGATTTCTGCTACTACTGTCCTCTCAACTAAGCGATATTTATGCGCTAACAGTCCAGGGCATCTACCTGCCAGAGCATCTGACGAGATGTGGCGCTGACCAAATTTTCAAAGCAACAGCAGATGTTGGAGGTATCATTACAAACGTCGGAGAGTGTATAAAACAAGTCGCAAGCAATTCTTAGATGTGGAGGAGGAAGTTCTGAAGGTTATGACACTGTTTAATGATGTATTTTGAAGCTGCTGAATGTTACGCTGTTCGTAGGGTTAGCTGTGGAATGCCACCGCTTGAAAATATAAATAAATTATGTTATTTGTTGGAAAAGTATAGTATTAATATAAGGATGTTTTGTGACTATTTTCAGATATTTATTTACAATTTCTTTTAATTATGTAAAGGTATTTTATATAATCCTATACGAAATAAAATAGTGTAAGTGGTTTAATACATTTTATGTACTGCATTTTTTAATCAGAAAATTTAAACTACTTTTTGTGCACGATAGGTGGAATAATAGAAAGGGTTAAACTTTCAGATTATTAAATTATATTTGCCAAGCCACAAAATTGTTTGGCTCTTGCCACATTATTTCATTCTGACATTTCAGTAGTATGGCTGCCTCAGTTAGAAATATATTTGTATTCACTTTTGCTATAGGAATAAAATGCACAATGGAGGCGATAGACATGAAGACGAACAGCGATAGGAAGAAGGATGATAAATAATATTATGATGATAATGTGATAAACAACACTAATAAATACATTCATATATTTTTATGTAATTTACTCTTCAGGTAATTCTGACTCCACCCAACTTTAGGTTGTCTCTGTCCCCACACCACTAAGCTTGGAAAAGCAAAACTTTCATTTATAATTTGGAAGAAGGCCGTGACACTAGTGTCAAGTATCTGACTTAAGTAACATATTTTATGGATACCTTCTCCCGTGCCCCGAGGCGCGCTTTTTGAAGTGCAACTAAAAACAGGCATCAAAGATATTTTTGATTGGCTGAGCTTGAAAGTTTCAAGTTGTTTCGTGGTTGCATGTTGTATAATTAAAATCTGATTAGTAACCATCAGTTAATACAGATATTTACAATAAACAAGCATGCACGATATACAGTTAAAGAGACTACCATATTCAAAAGTAGTCGAATCCTCCAACACACGCTATTTATTTTAAAAGTGTTAAAGTGGGAACTTTCCAATGTAAGCCTGCGAGAAAATCGAAATGAAAATAAAGTTTTATGAAACGGTAATTGTGATAAACATGGCAGTTTATCTTTCATATCATTTTGTGACACCTTTCATGCCCAGTTTTATCTTTGTTTCTCTAGTCTACTCTCTCTCTCCTCTACCGGTCCTCGCTATTTTTCTTCGCACGTTTCACTCTTTATTTGAAACTAGTACGCTCTCTTCCAACCTTATGTTCGCCATTATGTATCTCTGATTCTTTAACCAATTCTCTTCCTACTTCTCCGTTTATCTTAATTTCCATTCCTTCCATCCTTAAGTTTCTGCTCAGCTTTTACTTCTCCTCAAATAATTACTTTCAACATTGTTTTATGAACAAACACCAAATTCTCTAGTTTCCGAAAAAAATACCATTACAATGGCCATTTCTAGTTCTCTCTCTTCTGTAAATTACTGAAAAATTCTCTCACTAACTGTTCTAGATATAATTTTAGGATCATGTTAAGGCTGATTACATCAGTATACTTTAAACTAAATTATGTAGAAGATTCACACAGCCAACTTTCTATAGCCTACGCACATCACATTTTCTGGAACTTCACGTGTCAGCTTTGTACGTGTAATTACTATCGATAGACTTCTTGATCTTACGCTCTGTCTCCTCACAAACTAATACTAGTCGTTCCAGTTATTACAGACTTGTGATATTTAGGGTTCTGACGGCGGTGAAGATGTCGATGTCGATTTTTTATGTAATGCTGTGTGGGCTGGTAGGTACATGCCAACTTTTGAGTAACGTACTAGTTCCATCCTCATCCTTGATCTTTACCAACATATACACTTTCTCCGTAGCTTTCACTGAGGTGTGGTGTCTAATAGTCTTCCAGAAGTAAGGCCAAGCTTCTAAATAAGCAACTTCCATTACAAGTGATGCTTTTCACTATAAATTAATGTCTGTCAATTTCTATTTGAACCTCTAAATCCACTGAACAATACAAACCGTCAAGAACAATACACACACTGAAGAACACCGTGAGTCAATAAGAATATTTGCAGTCACAAAGCCGAAAATCCTTCAGCAGTTTTATCGTGACAACAATTGCAATAACTTTCATATAACATACACAGCCATAACTATTAAGGGGGGAATTCTCTTAACCTATTAGTTTTATATAAATATTTTCATAAACAACATTTATTATTTTCATCAAACAATCTTCAGTTGAGACTTTACTAATCGCGTGCCATTAATACGATATTTAGGTAGTAAGACAAATGTATCACACATTATTTCTGGACTTGACAAGTTAGACTTTATTACCGATGGCCATAAGATCTGATCCCGATTGATAATGAAAACGAAATTTGTTCTAAAGTGCAGTAAATGCAGAATTTCCCGTGTCCAAATATCTCACGATCACGGGATACTAAGCAACACACTTCATATATTTACAACCTCGATACTAGAAACATAAGATTGTACACGCTGCAGCCTTCTTTATTCCGCTACATTTTCAAATAAAATGATATTTCCTAATTACACGTAAAAAAACTCCAATATATATTTAAAACATTTGTGTTTCTTAATTCCCATTATATCTAATACCAACATGGCGGTCGTAAAATTTCCTGAGGTGGAAAGGGCGCTAGTGCCACTTAACACATTCGAGATTTCGTTTAATAACACATAATGCAAATATTAAACTTGCAGCAATTCTCTAATATAATATAAAATAGCAAGATGGCAGTCGTGCGAAATCTATACTTACCATTTGGTAAACGGAGAAACCACTGGAACTGGAATGTGGCATTTATGTGGAAAGAGGTAATAGACGTATCTACATTTGGTGATATTCTTCTTCTGGCGCCGTGCAAATTCGTCGGCAGTTGCCAAATTCTCAGCTAAATCTAGTCTTCATTTACAGGCTGGAGATTACAACGCTAACGTCTATCGACGAGTCGACACAACGCCAAAGCCCAAGAGAAAATCGCCATCTTCACCGCAGTAAAAACCTCACAACACATACCTACACTTTTCCTTAAACCAATTTTAATAAGGACACAATTACGAACATTGAGACGGCGCAAAACCCCGATGATCGCTAGCTCAATGCAGAAGAAAACTGTCTTCTATCAGACTACACGGTGCAACACCCCAGATTCCAGCCATCATCAATAATTAGCAGCATACTTTTGGAAAACTCGTCTCTTACAGTGCGTTTATTTCAGTGTAGGATGTGAGGATTATTCTTCACAATTAAAATAAACTTTGTGTAAAAGAGAGTGCGTAACCTACTTAAGGTACCACAATCACAAAAATATGGAAGGACATCCAGCTACCAGACTGAGAAACGAACCCGGGATGACCAAACTAAAAACTAAAAATGCTGACCCCTACACTTGCGGAGTTTCTCGAGAACTTTTTTATTGATTACACGGTCAGTCCAGGAAATTCTGAGAATACGTCGGTACAACCACATTTCGAAGGCCTCCAACTTCTTTGAAGCATTGCCAAAGACTTGCCAAAACGGCTACGGAAACCTATGCAATGCTAAAGCAAGCATTTGGGGAGTCCGCAATGGGTCGTGCACAAACTTTTGTGTGGCATTCACGTTTTAAAAATGGCCGAACCTCTGTCGATGATGACGAGCGTTCTGGACGACCATCTTCGAGCACAACGCTCGAAAATGTTACGAAGATTCGGCAGGCCCTTCACGAAGATCGACGTCGTACCATCGACGACTTGTGCGACATTGTTGGGATAGGCTATGGGACCTGTCAGCTGATTCTAAAGGATGAACTCCACATGCGACGCATCCTGTCTGAGGACCAGAAGCAGAATCGACTTCTCGTTTGTCAGGAGTTTAAAGATCTTGCAAGAACCGACCCCAACTTCCTTTCTAAGGTTTCCTCTTCTCAAAGATGAAAATTCAGCTAAAGGGAAGGAGATTTGAGACGATAGAAGAGATTCAGGCAGAATCGCAGATGGTGCTTGACAGGCTGACAAAGAAAGATTTCCAGGGATGCTTCCAGGCTTGGTAGCGGCGCTGGGATCGTTGTGTTCACTGCCAGGGGAACTCTTTCGAGGGTGATGGATGAATTTAATACCTGAGATAAGTGTACGGGTTTTTATAGGCGCAGTCTAGAAACTTTCCGATCGCACCTCGTACATGCAATTGTGGACTTGCGAATTGTGAGGAGGATGTTCTATATTTCTTGCTAGGCTCACAGTTTTGACGAAATTAAGCTACACAAATGTTCTCACCGGCCCTACTTAATGTTTTCATATTTCGGAAGAACAAACAAGCGGAATCTTTTCATTTCGGTCACTGTTATGGCGATGTTTTCAAGGATGCGATTAGGAGATCCATTGGTCATGAAGAATTAAATGGTTATTTTCGTCAAGATGGACAAGCGTCTGGATCCGCTTGAGGTGAAAATGTGCGTTCAATTATTCAAGGACTGCGTAGTTACCAGAAGGGGAAATCATTGACGTGCTGTGTCGCATGTCTGTGTTTATTCAGCTTGTAGAGCGTGTATATAACTCGTTGCCCCTTGGCACAGAAACATCAGAACTTGGAAGAAATTCTGCGATAAGATGGTGCCGAAAATAACGTGCTTCGTCGTGATACTTTGTGCTCTGCAGGTAAGTACCGGGTTAAACAGGTTGAAGCAGCGTTCATTTATAATTTTTAAAAATATACTAGTTGATCACCTAGCGGTTAGAACGCTGGCCTTGTAATCCTGGGGTCTCGCGTTCGATTCCCGGCGGTGCCCGAATTTATAACTTGTGTTGGGCAAGGCCGTGTCTAGGCAACACGAAGTTTTCCTCCGGGAGTTTCTCTGTGACTTCCCAACAATCACTCCATTCACACACATAAGAAGGCAATGGCAAACCACTTCTGGATCATCTGCCAAGAACGTTATATGAACAGGTCCCAGTCCGAGAAAAGGATGGAAGGATCCTGTTCATATGGACCTGTCCTCAGACAGAACACTAAATAATAAATACTAGTTGATCACAGCTTACTCAAAGTAATATAAATTGAAAGACAAGTGTTAGCCATTATTGAAGAATATTATAAAAGTTACTTATTAAAAATAACACCCGTTAGATGATTGATAAACTGATGTACCTGATTCATGCCAGGTTACTGTGCCTAGTGGAAAGACTTACGAATCAGGAGTACCAATCTTAATATATATCTAACGGGTGTTATTTTTAAGAAGTATCTTTATTATAATGTTCCTCAATAATGGCAAACACTTCTACTTTAATTCCCATTACTTGGAATAAATCATCGCCCTGATGACGGAGGCAGTATAACCTCTGAAACGTTGGTGGAAATCTACCAGACTACACGGCGTTATAACCCAGAAGATTGCAATCTTAGTATTTTAGCACGTTTGTACCTCACTGGAAGGAAATAAGGGCAGTTGTTCATTCCAACTCTCAAACACTGTGTGGGCTGTGATGAAGAACAGAGGGAGGTAAGCCATCAACTTCACGTATCGGTCGCTTTACGACTGGAGGATAATCTTCGTAGTAGGTAAGCTGGGTTCTCGCTATAACCTGTTCAATTGATAAAACGTCGTCATTCATTTTGTTTCAGTTTGCCCTAGCTGCAAACGTGCAGAAGCGCGACTTACTCAGCTCACTCCAGTCAACTGTTGCCTCAGTGCAGCAGAAGGCTGCAGATATCTTCGGACAGGCCAAAACCCAGTTCGAAGAAATTGAGAAACAAGTTTCCTCGATAATCAATTCCACAGTGGCCAATGTACAGACGCGCGCTGCGGAGGTAATTCAGCAGATACAATCGGCCGTGGCTTCAGCTGAGCAAATTGGGAGAAATATCGGACCATGTGTCAGCGGGCAAACTGAGACAGCGAAAAGAGTAGTTAATGAAACAGGTACGAGTAGTTACGGAATAATTAGTTGATTTGCTCTCCTTGTCTACGTGTATTTTCGTTTACCTATCTCTTTGCGTGCTTATTAACATAAGCCTATTTATTTTATGTCGACTACTTGAGACGGGATACCAACGCCGTTAATCATAGTTTGTGTTCAGAAGTACACACTCACTTGGCTAGTCAACAAGTATTTCACCTTTTACGAAACGCGAATGTATTCATAAAAGCTCGCCATAGGATTGTATTCTGACAAAAAAGCTGAATTCAGTCCATACGCACTTTATTCCTACCATCTATTCTCGTGTCACCTCTGTGGTGGTTTCCTTTCAGATTTTCATATTAACATTTTTATGCAAATTTTAATCTTCCCCACGTTTACAATAACGTCCCTGCCATCCTGAGTTCGTTACTGGAACAGTATTTGGTCGAAAATACTACCTTAAAATTATTAAGACCCCTCATTTTGTAATTTTTTCAACCTTTAACTTCTTCTCCTCGGGATTAAAATATTATGCCTCCATCATCAGGGCGATAAGTGATCATGATGGAGGTAGCAAGGACCTCTGAAACGTCGGTAAACTTTTACCAGACTACACGGCGCAACGGCCCAGAAGACGAAAAAAAGATTAGACAGGAGAGCACAGAGAAAAATTGTGCAGATTTACAAGATTTCCTATATTTTTGCCAAGTTTCATACGTTCCGCCCGCACTGCTAAGGTAAAATCATTTCTCCTGAGTAAAAAACGCGAGGTTACGTTTAACATTAGTGATGGAGAAGAGTCTTTTTAGCAGTGTTACCAAAATAGGAGATTAAACTTTCATGATAAACGACTAACATAGAATTTCTGGGTTCAATTTTGTTCCTGTCACTCTGAAGTCTTGTACTTTCATTCCTGCAGAAACAAATCTTCAAACCTGCACGACATCGGCAAAAAGTCAATTGAACGCGACGTATGCGGACATACAAAACTTGTTCTCCCAGTCTCTACAGCTTTCTACAGAGATTACCAGCTGCTTCAGTCAAGGATTTGGTGCGCTAAGCTGTCTGGCCAATGCCAGCGGTACCGTTCTCCCGAGGGCCATGCTACTCCTCTCTTCGATCACATCCGACGCCGCGACATTTGGCGCGCAGTTAACACCAGTGCCAGCATTGCTTGCGCAATGCGCCGCCGACGGATTATCCAGTGCAGCGACGAAATTTGCATCCGTCTTGGCGACAATTCAAACTTGTGCTACAAGTCAGCCCACTGCCGCTTGAATCATCGCTGTGAAAGCGAACGAAATAACAAGATTCCTAAATTGCAGAATCTAAAAACTTCGCTAGTTTAAAAAGAAATGTAAAAGCTGCATAATAATAACAATAATAACACATGTTTAATTTGTATTCTCTTAAACGAAGACCTGTGATCGTATAACACCAGTTTCTTGTTATCCACAGCTCCTTTACACCCGTATTTAATAACCCTACTCTTACTATTCAACACATATTAGCAATGTCTTATATAATCGATTAATGATTATCTTATCAATAGTATTCTTACATTTACACCTTATTTTAAATAGGTAGTTCCAAAATCACCCATATAAATATAATCTTTATCAAATTGTTATTGTACTGAACCACTTTTAACAAAGAATTTCTTTTATTAAAGTTCTTCACATTTTCGGACACATGTTTAGAACTGTCCTTCCCATATCACAGAGGACATCTTCCCTTCTTGATCCTCCTAATGTCTCTTTATTTCCAGATTCTGCTTTCACCCATGTTGTCCCACTACTCAGATTTTTCATATTAAAACACTATACTGGGGATACTGGGAACGACCCGTTCTTCAAGTGCCTGAGCACTGCTGGTCCCAACTTTTTTGTTGGCTTGATCCGTAGGAATCCTTGGACAAGGGATCGGCCCTTCGCAAGACCTCTATCTATACACAGGATAGCACAACACAGAAAAACGCTGACAAACATCCATGGCTTGAATGGGATTCGAACCCACGGTCCCAGCGACCAAGCGGCATAAGGCCCACGCCTCAGACCGCGCTGCCACTGCGGACCCCATTAAAACATTATAACCCCATTATTTTATCTTATCCCGTGATTTTTTTATATATATTTTGTGTTATTTTTGAGGTCCGTTTGTTTAGTTTAAAGTTAGCTTCTGGTAAAAGTAAACTTGTACCAGACTA